AGGAGGTGTGGCCTTGTTGTTGGAGGAGGTGTGGCCTTGTTGTTGGAAGAGGTGTGGCCTTGTTGTTGGAGGAGGTGTGGTCTTGTTGGAAGAGGTGTGGCCTTGTTGGAGGAGGTGTGGCCTTGTTGGAGGAGGTATGTCACTGGGGGTGAGCTTTGAGATTTCAATGTCAGGGACCAGCCTCAACAAAAATACCACTTGCCAGGGTAGAGGCATGGGAATTTAGAAATATAAGTAAAGAATATGAAGATGAAGACACGTGAAAAATAATAAAACAGAAACCATAGAATAATATGGGGAGGGCATTTCAGTGAATACTGAAATCATCCACGTTTAATTTTCCATACACTTTTATACCCCAATACAAAAGGGAGAAGGCAACAAAAGATTTCTTTGTCATGATACAAAGGACAACTCAAACAGTTAATTGCTTTAACACTTCGAGACATCAAGTCATTAGTATTCTGTTGTTTAGGCAGTGAAGCCACACTAGATCAAGTATCCTGAAGGCAGCCATTCCCCAGGTAACCTCATATTACAAAAGAAGGAGAAGAAGTACACTTGCATATTCTGACCATCTCTCAGAATGGAATGGATCTACTTGTATGGGCCATATTAATGTCAAAAAAAAAAAAAACAAGTAATCACATCCTGTCAGGACGTGTAGCTACACTTGTCAATCATTTTGAGCAACCTCCAACTCTCTTGACTACCAGACAAGGTGGCCATAGGTTCACATTTTTGGGCCTCCACATTTCAGAAACTCAAGTCAGGCCAAGTCTTTCTTCTTACTGCCTGTCAATTCAGACGTAGAACTCTCAACTACCTCTCCAGAACCATGTCTATCTGTGTGCCACTAAGCTTCTATGATGACAGTAGAGTGAAACTCTGAAATGTAAGCCACTCTCAATTAAATGTTTTCCTTTATTTGGGTTGCCATGGTCATAGTATCTCTTCACAGCAATAGAAACCCTAACTAAGACACTTGTCTACAGAGTGTGCTGTAATACAGCATGTGTTAATGTAATTTGCAGTTGCCCCTCCCTTCCTAATCTTAAGAGCTCTTGACCTTCTGACTAGTAAAATTATTTTATTAACAACTGAAGATTATTAATATTTTTACCCTCCCTTTTAAAGAAACCATTGGGATGTTTCTGGAAAGTGACATATCTTACCAACTCTGGTTTCACAGAAGTATGGTTCATAAGAAAAGCAAGACAAATGCTAGAATTTCTCCTTTATTTACTAATTTCTGAAACAATAAAGTGTGTACTTGTAATACTCCAAAAGCAGCCAAAATTGAGTTTTTGTAATGCCTATGGGAAATACACTCCAAGGACACTACCTCCACACTCTTGCAACTCCAGGTCCTGAGGTGATGTAACAGTTTGAATGAGAATGGCTCCTATAGGCTCTTGTATTTGAAGCCTTAGAGTGGAACTGTTTGAAAGGACTAGAAGGATTGGGAGGCGTGGGACCGTTTGAAAGGACTAGAAGGATTGGGAGGCATGGAACCATTTGAAAGGATTAGAAGGATTGGGAGATGTGGGACCATTTGAAAGGATTAGAAGTATTGGGAGGTGTGGCCTTGCTGGTGGAAGTGTGTCATTGGGGTTGGGATTTGAGGTTTCAAAACCTACACATGGCACTACCTCTCTCTCTCTCTCTCTCTCTCTCTCTCTCTCTCTCTCTCCCTCCCTCTCTCCCTCTTCCTCCATCCCTCTCCCCATTCCCTGTGGATCAGGATGTAGCTCTCAGCTACTGCTTCAGCGCCATGCATGCCACCATGCTCCCTGCTACAATAATAATGGACCAAATCTCTGAAACTCTCACAAGCCCCTTTCATTAAATATTTTCTTTTTTGAGAGTTGCCTTGGACCTGGTCTCTCTTTACAGCAATAAAACTAAGACAGGTAGACTGTCCCTACCCTAAGTTTGAAATGCCCCAAAACCTGAAACTTTTTGAGAAAAAAAAGCCATGATGTTACAAGTAGAGAATTTGCCACATAAACTCATGTGAAAGGCTACAGTCAAAATGCAGGAGTGTGGAATTACCTTCAGGCTGTCCTTATACAATGTGTATGAACATTAACAGACTTTGTGCTTAGACTCAGACCCAAATCTCATTATGCACACAAGTACTCCCAAATCAGAAAAGAAAACCCAAATCCAAAACCCTTCTTGTTTCCAGGTACTTAGGATCTACAACATTCAGCCAGCGCTACACTATTTCCTATGTCCAACAGAAAATTTGCAAGCTAAGCACCACGGGAGACTAACTGCTCACACTTCCAGGCCATCCTCACAAAGCACTTCCACTCTCAAACACTTGCCCCTGGGTCACTTACTCATTCTTCTACTCAACAAACAATCGCAGTAACGCTTTACAGTTGCATGTGAAAGGCTGTTTACTTCAGCACTTTTAAACTAAACACAATCAAACCTATACACAGTGTAAACAATAACATGAACCTAGACACTTCCAGTCAGGAACCCCACAAGCTAACTCCTATGGAGGGTCTCTCTGTTCTGAGCAATCAAATCTATCCTTGTCAGTCTGTGGTGAGTCTCTGCTGCAGACTGACTCTTGTCCTTGGAGAACTTGCTTTCCTTAAATTCTTCCTAAAGCTTTATATGGGGAGCTGGAGAGATGGCTTAGTTCTTGCAGAGGACCAGCGTTCAATTCCCAACACCCTCACGGAGGTTCACAACTGTCCTAAGACTTCATACAAAATTTGGAAGATGTGGAAAAGTATAGGGTTGTTGTTTTTTTCCGTTGATTTCCCCCATCATTGCCTGGTTGTTTTACATAAATCTCACCACTATTTCACAGCCTTTCCTCGGGAATACTGTTAAGTCTTGGGCTCCTAACAGCCAGCAGCAGGAGGCTGGTTTATAGCTGAGTTCACAGCTGCCCTGTATAAAGACAATAACCTAGACCACCCTCAGCAGCTGGCTGGAGACTCAGATTCAGCCTTGGGATGTAAATGAGAGCATCTTCTGGGAAGGTTCCTAACAGCGGAGGGTGTGTGCCTTGTGTTGTCTTTTTCCTTTCTCGCTGACAGGATGCAGACGCAATGGTCAGAGCTGGTGCCTTCTGTACCGTACACTGC